GCAGATCCCGTGAGCAAATTTAATATTTAAAAAAAAACAACAGCGAAATATCAGTCATAAAATGTACTTTGAATGTAGTCTTAAGAACAGGCGTTCACAGCATCCTTAATCTAATTTGGCGGTGGATGCTGTTTGGGTGTTTTACTAAACAGATACCAATTCATTTTTCGTTAAGCGTTACTGAGTGCCTAGTATTCTAGGTATTGAAGATACAGAAAAATGATACAGACCTTCCTTCGAGGACCTTTTGGGAGTTTGGCAAGTAAAGCACGACAAGTAAGTGCTCATCAGACTGGTGTGGAACCACATGGATGGCATGCCCAACTTTTTCATTCATATCATTCGGAACATGTATTTATTGAGCATCAGCTTGTCAGGCACTGTTCTGTATGCTAGAAATAAATGCAAGTCATTTGTAGCTTGCATTCGAGTGAAAGGAAGCTAAAAATAAACATAAAGAAATTATGTATTGTCCAGAATAGTATGGATTAAAAAAAATACCAAAAGGAGGGTGATGGAGAGGATGTTGCTATTTTATACAGGCTGTCAAGAAAGGCTTCTCTAAGCCACACTGAAGAAAATGAGAGCGTGAACTACAGAAGAGTGCCAGGAGGCTGGAGCAGCTTGTGGGAGGAGGAGGCAATTAGTAAGTGAAGTTAGAGTTGTAGTCACGATTGATCCAGAACAGTGTTTCTCAACCCTGGAGTTTTGGGGTAGGATAATTCCTTATTGTAGATGCTATCCTATGTGTTGTAGGATGCTTAACAGCATCCCTGGCTTCTACCTACTAGATGCTAGTAGCATCTTCTCTCTCCAGTTACGGATACCCAAAATGCCTCCAACTTGCTGAGTGTTTCCTGGGAGACAAAAAAACCCCACCCTTAGTTGAGGATCACTGATAATGAACCATCTGTCCAAAGTGCTTTCTAAGATGATGTGAATGTTCTATATCTGTTTTGTCCAATACAATAACCATCAGCCACATGTGGCTCTTGAGCTCTTGTAATGTGGCTAATACAACTGAGGAACTCAATTTTACGTTTTTTAATTTTAATTATATTTTCATAGCCACATGTGGCTAGTGGCTACTGTATTAGATAGAGCCTTGCCTGCCATTATAGACTTTGGCTTTTATATTTTTACCTTTCTGCCTTCATTTCCAGTTATTCTCTCACTCTCACTCCAGTCTAGTCGCAGTGGTTCCCTTGCTGTTTTTTTTTTTTAAGATTTTTAAAAAAATTGATCTTGAGGGAGAGAAACATCGATATCAAAGCATAACATTGATTGACTGCCTCCTACACACCCCCTATCGGGAATTGAGCCTGATCCCCACACCTCTATGGGCTGTTTCCATTAAATCATGTTCTGGCAGTTTCACTTACTGAATGGTTTTGAGGAAAGAAAAGTTTTCTTGATTAGAGTGGTTTGGGGTATTAGGTCTTACTATTAAAATATCCATTCACCCCAAAGTAGTTAAGTACTTCTTCAAATTTCCTGGAAACTGAGCTTCTGAAAAGACTGAATTTAAGGGAACATAGCTTACCTCCTCTAGGGAAATAATGAAGAACATTGTTGCTTTAGGTCTGCAGTTTTCAAATCTTAGTGTGTATCAATCACCTGGAGGACTTCTCAAAAACAGATTGGTCCCTCACTGACCAAAATTTAGCATTTCTAACAAGTTCTGAGATTCTGCTGCTTTGGAGACCATTGGTGACCATACTGTGGTAGAAGAGAATAAAACATCAAATAGCTGTCTGTAGCCGACTTCATCCTTTGTCTCTGAAATCACTGATCCTCAGGCAAGTCTAGCCCTCTCAATTTGAATGTATTAGATCCACTCATGATCTGTATTTGTAGGGAAAACAGCATGGCAGAATGGAAACTGGATGGCATGGTTTTAGGACACATCTGACTTTTCAGTTCCACCTGTTTATTAGCTATGTGACTTTAGTTATTTAACCTTTCTGAATCTTGATTTTAAAAAGCAGTGTTCTTATCTATTGTTGTTTTAACAATTAGGGGTTACACGTATAGTTTGTACACAGTAATTTAGTAAAAGAAGAAGCCATTTCTTCTCCAGTGTGTTGGACCCATAAGGCATGAACTTCTCTTGCACTTTTTTTATTCCATGTACTATTGGATTGCCTCCATTTCAAATCTTGATGTAGAGCCAAAACTTGTCTCTGTTATCAGTTGGTTCTTGAAATCAGCATAGATCTTATGCTATGAAGAACAACCTATTTATTTGAAAGGTACTTAGTAATATTTGATTGCTTCTCAGAATTCCTCAAGTTTCAGAAAAAAGTGTAGATAACCCCAATAATTTTATCTAAATACCTCATTTAATAGTCTAAGACCATATATTCATAAATCATAGACTGAGAATTCTAGATCTCAACTCTATGCTTTAATAACTTTCTCATAGTGTTTTTCAAAGCATAACATTTGTAACATGTACAAAACAGTGTATTTAACACAGTATACGTTCTATCATTTGCAGTACTATCTCATCACATTAAAGAGGTCCTTTTCCTACATCAGGCCCATTTTTTTCCAGTTGCAAGTTATAGCAAAGTTGAGGGGGTTTTCCTTTGTTAGTGAACCAAAAATGTAGGAGCCCTCACTTTTAGACACAGATTAATTGGCTTAGATATTTTCCCATTGAAATGTTTTTATAGGTGGTTAATTTTCATCATTTACATCTTATTTCCAAATGACTTCAGTTTTTGTTTTAAGTTCCAGCAAAAGCTCTTCATCTTTGAAGAATTACCAACATAAACAAATCCATCCAGTCTTGCTTTTGATAGTTGTCTTCCACCTACCTCACACTGAAGCCATTTACTTGAAATGACTTCAGTAACCAGCATTCTATCAATGTGTAATTCCTGCATGTGGACATTAGTTAAAATATGTTCTAAAAAGGTCTACTTAATTAAACTTATAGATATTTATTTTTTTCTATATTTTTAAAAAATCACTCAATAATCTAAACATGATATGAACTGAAATACCTCATTCTCTTATAAGACATAATAGAAATTTCTTATTTAATATATATATTAAGCCTATTTCCTTTGAAGGGTTGTGTTACACAAAAATGAACCCTTCAGCCCACCGGTGTGACTCTGTGGTTCGATTCCTAGTCAGTAAACATGCCCTGATTTCAGGCTTGATCCCTAGTAGAGGGCGTGCAGGAGGCAGCTGATCAATGATTCTCATCATTGATGTTTCTCTCTCTCTCTCCCTTTCCCTCTGAAATCAAAAAAATATATTTAAAAAAAATAAAGCAGATTAAAAAAATGAACACTTCATTACCAATAAGAACAATGTTTTATTGAACAAATCTATGTACAGTACAAAAACTTCTTGAAATGAGACACTATTGTTGATTTATTGCAGTTCAATGGCTCAGTTTTAATTTGTACTCTTATAAAATGCAAAGTAAAATAATTTAATGTTCAACAAGGAAGCACAAATTCCTTTCTTGCTGAAACTGTAATATCTTTCACATATTAACAATTCCAAAATGCATATGCAGCATTTAGTCATTCTGAAAAGGTGTTTTACAGTACCAAATAAATTAAAAAATAAACACTATCATCCCTTTTAGGTTTTTCATCCATACAACAGTTTAAACCAAACACAAAAGGAGTACGGCTGAACCTTCAAGTGTGATTTCAGAAGAATCACAAGTTCAATGTTATAAATTATCTACTCATTATATAATTGGTGGTTTAAAAAAACGAATATGGCTAAAGCCCAAAGTACCAGTGTCCTTGTCCACGGAGATTCCTTTTTTACCTCTCCCAAAATATCTGAGCAGCAAAAATTCAGATTTGCTATTTTCTTGACCTTACTGAAACATAGAAAGTTAGTATGTAATGTTTTGAAGGCAAATTTTTTGTATTTAAAAACATAGGATTGAAACTTGGTCCATGTAAGTTAAACATATCCTCAAAACAGAAGGAGTAAAAAAGAAAGAGAATAAATTGAGGAAGAAAGCTTCCTTTTCTTCTGGATCCCAAACTAGAATTGTTGGAAGTTTATACATCCTCTACAAGCAAAATGACGTAAGTTTGTGTTTTATAAAACATACATAAAATGTACACATTCTTTCAATAACAATTATCTGAGAAATATATAAAGAGTGAGAACAGTGTGTTCAAATAGAATTTTATAAGACATTCCTTGATTTATGTATAAACCGATTTGATCAATCTCCCAAAGTTTTCCCTTAGCAACATAATAGAAATAAAACCTCAAAGACATAAAATAACATATGCAATATATTTAAAAACATCTTGGTATGAACTGCAAAATGAATGAAAATAATTTGTAGACATGATAGTTTCAACTTACAAAAAAGTAAAGAGTTAAAAATGTTAAGTGGTAATTTTAAACTTCCGGAAAATGAAGCAGAAATTATATTTCAAAAATAACTTTATTGTCCAAATGAACTAGTTTCCAGACAGACTTAATTACATGATTATTTTAGACTAAACTGAAATAGATCTCAAGTATTATATTTTTAGTGTCAGGGAGTATGGAAAAGATTTTAAGTTGACCTTAAAGAATTAAAAAATCTAACTGATTTGTGTTTACTTATGCAATTTAAATGTAAATTCCACAGCCTAATGTAGGCTACAATAAAAATAAAATTAAAAAACAAAAAACCTAAATTTTATTGGAATGGATTTATGACTGTCAATTGTATAGTAGTGAATGCACATGATAACTAAGCTAATAAAATTGGGAAATTTTTTAGATATCTGACCTACCATGATCTATTGTGACTTGGAAATCTTAATTCAACAGTCTAGATCAGTGATGGTGAACCTTTTGAGCTCGGCGTGTCAGCATTTTGAAAAACCCTAACTTAACTCTGGTGCCGTGTCACGTAGAAATTTTTTGATATTTGCAACCATAGTAAAACAAAGATTTATATTTTTTGATATTTATTTTATATGTTTAAATGCCATTTAACAAAGAAAAATCAACCAAAAAAAATGAGTTCGCATGTCACCTCTGACACTCGTGTCATAGGTTCGCCATCACTGGTCTAGATGATGCCCTGGAAGAAATGTTCCACTTGCTTGGTAACTTCATTCAAGAAACTTTAATATGCCAAAGTTTAATATTCAAAATATATGGATATAGTAGGCTCTGATCAGATTATCTGCTTTGAACAAAAATGTGTCAGTTGGAATACTGGAATATTTATTTGGTTGACATTGGTACATTACTAGCCCAGTTTTTGAAGAATTTGCCTTTGCATTTTTCATTTTATCCCTGCTATAGATTAACACATTATTAGATAAAAGGTCTTTAGCCTTCCTCTTTTAGAGAATGTACAAGTAGAACACATCTGAGAGGGTATTTTTAAAAACATTTTTTGTATTAATTTATTAAGTTAAAATCTTCCTTAGGAAAATTACTGGTCATCAAGGAAAATAAATGCATCAATATATCTTACTGTGTTCTTGCTGTGCAAATTTTTATGTAAATATTTCCTTTCATATATATATAAAAATCATCAATCAGACCAAATCTATCACTAATAAATAAGAAAGCATGAGTAGTATGGCTTATTTTATAACTAACTATTCTAAATGAATAAAACCAATGAGTTCTTGACCTGATTCTTAGCTTACATATTTTTTACAGCCAGTTTTTATAGGACTGTACTTAGATAACTCACATTAATGTCTAAAGGACCTTACTATGAATCATCAAGCAATGTCCCAACACTACTCTATATACAAATAGAAATATCCCAGTGTGCTTATACCATTATTCACATTGAGGAATTTGCAATTCAGTGTTTTCCACCAACTAGATAGCCTTTAATGGTCTTAAAATTCCTCCCATCTATCCCCAAAGTTACCAATGGTACTTTTTCTATTTAATTGACACTGCTGCCTTTATAATTCATTGGTATCACAAAAATGGAAAGTGGAAGGTTCCAGCAAAGCACTGTTTTGTCTTTTGTTTTTTTAGTTTTAAATACTGGCATGCCATACATTGAACTTTGACCTGTCTATTCAATCATCTGGAAACAAGTTACAATCTTTTATGGATAGAACAGTGATAAATCAAGTTTTATTTTCATGTATCAGTTTCTAAATTATAATAAACCTAGTAGTGATTCCTTAAGCCATGTTTGGTCAGAAGGGAGGTCAAAATCTGATTATACATGACAAGTAAACCATCCCATTTGTAGAATACTTTAAGTTGTTTATTGTAAACCAACCCCTCCCCCTTTTTAAATGGGTTAACTCCCTTTCTGTAAGGCCATAGCTGGTTTCTCTTTCTGACTAGTTGCCTGAACAAGTTTCTCACTTAAGCGAAACTGAACGTGCTGCTATTAATCTCATGAACTTTTTTTTTAAATGTGGTTTTCTGGATAACTGGTACTTTGGGAGTTTTGTAATAACCCTTTTGGAATCTGAACTAGCACATCTCTGTGAGTTCATTCTAGACAATGTGCTTTGTCTTTAACTAATCCTAGACCACTCTAAAATTAAGGCCGTCAGGGAAATAGCAAACTGATGATGCATTTTCTTGTAGTGCTTTTTTCACACTACTGCTTGATCGACAGATCTTTCTGATACATTTTTATCAGGCACCTGTAAAACAAAACATGTCTATTAATTCAAGTTTTATAGATGTTCAACTGGAACTCTAAGTCAGATTCCTGTTTATTTACACCCTTACACATTGAAAGAATATTGATAGTGGTAAAAAGGCAGGCAAGTTCTTCTGCTCATTTTTGTCTTTCATTTATTTTCTGATTCTTTTAAATTGTATTTGTAAAGAGGCTCAGTTTCACTTGGATTATAATACAGCATGCAGATGAAAAACACTCCCATCATAATTACTTTGTTTCTAGAACCTTAAGTACATGAAACCTAGAATGAAGAAAAGCTTCAAATACAGTGAAAATGCTCAAAGAATATGGAAAACCTGTGTACAAGTTCTGGCTCCCACAAGTTCATAGGCCTGTGCCTATGCAAATTACTTAACTTGTGGATTTGAGTTTTATCTATAAAACAGGAATAGTGACATCACCTCATAATGGTTGTATAAAGGAAATAATGTATAGTTTAGTGCTTTATTATCTACTAGAGGACCAGTGCACGAAAATTCGTGCACTGGAGGGTGTGGGGTCCCTCAGCCCGGCCTGTGCCCTCTCATAGTCCGGGAGTCCTCAGAGGATGTCCTACTGATGGCACAGACCTGCTCCCTGAGCCACAGTCTGGCCTCCCTCTGCAGGAGGTGACCGGACAGGGGACGCCGCCACCCCCATCACCCTGCCGCTGCCCAGCCTCCCTCTGCGGGAGGCGACCTGACGGGCCGATCAGGAGACGGTGCCAGACCCCCCTATCGCCCTTCTGCTGCTGCTGGTCGCCCCACCCCCCCACCATCATTCCCTCCCTCTGCCCACTGGCACATGCCTTGGCTGGCCTGGTGCCGCCTGCCCCGCCCCCCGCGTTCCACAGTCCTGTCAATTTGCATGATACGCTTTTATTATATAGGATGCTATACAAATGTTAACTTTAAAGACCTGTGGCATTTTCTATTTCTACAGATATACCTACTGAGAAGATAGAAGACTTACTTTCATCATCTGAATCAAATCCAAAGAGTGCCTGACATTTCTTTTGTGCACGGTGAGCCTCAAGTGCTTCTGCATTACAGTAGGTGGTCAGGCATTTGCCACATCTTAATCTTTTCACTGATTTTTTACAAATGTTATCTTGATCAGAACAGGCATCTATTCTATCAGTCAGAAATTTTCTGCGTTTTGGCATACTAAGGTACCGTTCATCAAGGTAACTGGGAGGCAATGGTCTGACATATGGCTTTGATAAAATTAAGCCATATGAAGTATGTTCGCTCATCATATTTGGTTTGGATGGTGCCTGAGATACTGGCAGGGTACTGTGTTCTTGTGATACAACATTGGGTAAAATGGAACCATTTTCTGTTCTGATTCTATTTGTATCAATTTTCAAAGCAGAACCTGATGAAACTAAAGATGTCTGTTCTATTCCACCGTGTCCATTGACTAAATCAATAATACTACAATTATTTTCAGAATTTGGCTCTAGGTCAGGCATCTTTTGGTCTGTCAAGCTTATATCAGAAACAGTGTCATCAGAATGTTCATTTCCATTCTGAACTAAACTGTCTGTCTTCTTTTCCATACTGTCTATACATGTCTTTGGTTCTGTAGAATCTTTCCTTGATTTGCTAGTACAAACTGGCAGGCTAATAGCTTGTTTCTCATTACTAGATGAGTCTTTTTCCTGATAACTGTTATTTGAGTCTGTAAGAACATCCCAAGCAATTGCTTCTCTTGGTTGTGCAGATGATTCCGGTGTTTTACTTAAATAGTGCTGAGCTTCATGTTCATATAACAGAGGAAGATCTTCAAAAAGTTCATGGCATTCTGGAAAACTACACTGGGCCTGAAATATCCTGTGACTTTTTGTGTGCTGAGCAAGCTGGAATGGCAGCTTAAACGACTCATTGCAATTAAAATGCAAACAAAAGTACACATTTGGATAGCTGTGTCTATTAAGGTGATCTATAAAATGCTGAGAATCTTCAAACTGCCTTTGACAAAATTTGCATTTTCCTTTGCTCCACTTCATTACCGTTTGCCGCACATTTAAGTCAGTTGGATGTGCAGTCCTTGCATGTTTATTGAGAAATCCAATTCTTTTAAATATCCTAACACAACCAAGAGCAGGGCACTTAAAGTTTCCTTTTTGATCTATATCATATATGTCTTTTGGATGGCACAAAGTTCCATTAATTTTATGAAGTGCTGGAGTTTCTTGATTCAGGTCATAATCATCTTCTTCATAATCACCTTCTTCATCCTCTTCCTCCTCGTAATCATCCTCACATACAGTTAAAGGTTCCAATACATTATTTATATAAGTGTCAGGACTGCCATTTTCAATGTTTTCAATGACATCTTCTGATACACTTATGGGAATTTCAGTGAATTCAGCCACATGCTCAGGGATGACTGCTTCGTTTCCATCATTGGAAGTATTAATAGTCGGTATTTCCAAATCTTTATTATCGAAATCTCCGTTTTCAAATGAAATTGAAGAATTGGAAAAGTTTATTTCTTCCAAAGCAGGAGTTTCCTGATCCTCCTGTTGAGCTACAGTAATTTGATGTCTTTGTATTTTTTTAACATGATTTTTTAAATGCTTCTGCATAAGTCCTCTGTTTCTAAATTTCCTACCACATATAACACAGGAAAAACTGCCCTTTTTCTGATGAGCCTGGGCATGCCTTACAATGTGACCGCCTAGAAATTCCTTATTACATAACATACACCGATGCCTTGGGACACTGTGGTCTACTTTAGAAGTGTTAAGAGCAGTAAGGTTTTTCTTTGTGTTAACATGGCCTTTAGGTTGTACTCCAGATATATCATCAGGATCAAGCTCTCCAGTGCTCTGATCTGTAAAAGAGTCAACACCTTCATCTAAACCTTTCTGTTCCAATGTCTTTTTTAGATTACCTATAGAATTTTCCAGTGTATTTTCATTTAGAAATTTGATTGCTGATTTATCACTCAGTAATGCTACACAGTTTTTCTTAATCATTACGAAGTTCCAGAATTCAGGATCAAAAAACAATCCCTTTTTCAAAATTGGAAGTAATTCAAAACGAACACGATTTTGAACACTACTGGTGCCTTCATTATATTCTTCATCTGGACATTTGTAAAGCTCTTCAACAGTGTGATAAGCTTCCAAGGAGCGCTCAAGAAAAAATATTGAGAGTGCACAAATCCTGAGGATCTCCAAATCATTTGGCAAGAAATGTGCAATTGTTTTATAAATTAGACACTTAGTTTTGGGATCATCATGAAGGTCTAGTTGTAGAGCACAACCACATATTTCAACACAAATTTGTAAGCCTTCTTCTTCAACCTGAATAAAAACAAAAAATATATATATATTACTACTAAATACCTTTTAAATATTACACAAACTAGTTTATCTTTTTAAATTACAACTCTGAAATGAAAGCTAAATAAACACAGTATTTCAAATGTACAATTTTCCTTAATGGGTAGCCTTAAATCTTTTATAATATGTAAATAAATCTTTTTAAACTTGAGAATAATTTGCAAAAGATAGCATTTTCACTTCCAATTTATTTAATTTTTAAGTTTGTTAAGACCTATCCTATATAATAAAAGCCTAATATGCTAAGTGTCCAGTCAGCCATTCAACCAATTAAAGTGTAATATGCTAACAATATGCTAAGGCTGCTCAACCACTCGCTATGACGTGCACTGGCCACCAGGGGGCAGATGCTCCGACTGGTAGGTTAGCTTGCTGCTGGGGTCTGACCAATTGGGACTGAGCAAGACGGGCCAGACACGACCTGGAGCCCTTCCGTGTCCTCCCTGGCTGGCCAACCTCCCGCATCCCTCCCCGGCCCTGATCTTGCACCGGTGGGGTCCCTTGGCCTGGCCTGTGCCCTCTCACAATCTGGGACCTCTTGGGGTATGTCAGAGAGCCGGTTTCAGCCCAATCCTGCAGGCCAGGCCAAGGCACCCCACTGATGCACGAATTCGTGCACCAGGCCTCTAGTCCTATATAATAAAAGACTAATATGCAAATCGACCGAACGGTGGAATGACCGGTCGCTATGACATGCACTGACCACCAGGGGGCAAACGCTCAACGCAGGAGCTGCCCCCTAGTGGTCAGTGCGCTCCCACAGGGGGAGCGCTGCTCAGCCAGAAGCCGGGCTGATGGCTGGCGAGTGCAGTGGTGGTGGCGGGAGCCTCTCCTGCCTCCATGGCAGCACTAAGGATCTCCGACTGACAGTCCACAGGGAGCGGGCCCAAGCCATCAGTTGGACAACCCCCTGAGGGCTGCCGGACTGCAAGAGGGCGCAGGCTGGGCTGAGGGACCACCCCCCCACCCCCCGCCGAGTGTACGAATTTCGTGCACCAGGCCTCTAGTTAATCATAATACAAAATGCTTCATAACCTTATGGTGATTTAAAATACAGAGTGCTTCATAAACTTATGAGGAGTAAAGTTTCTTACAAATCTAGATTCTGTTTATTTTATGTACTAACCTCACATTCTGTGGCAGAAGGGTTACATTATATGTATTTAAACACATTTGTCAAATTTTGATCTTAAAAAATAACTAGACTTTTTTAAAAAAAGAACTGCTTACGGAAACTCTTTCATAAAGCTGCACTGGATAATATTACTTCTGTTACTTAAGTATTATTATCCAAATAAGGGGAGAAGTATAGGCCACATGGAAAGGGCAATTACAATCCTTCCAAATCTAATAAGGTATCAGAATAATGAACCTACTGGAAGTTATCTGCAAATTATTCAAGCTTTGAAATTTTTACTTCTCAAAGATAACTGCATAAGCTTTTACTTGGGAATCTATTGTCTGCCCACGCTAATTCAAGCTATAAATAACACTGCTAATGATTTAGAGTTATCAAAATGCTTGTTTGAATAGAAAGAAGTACAAAAGTGATGCCTTTAAAACTGTGTGTATGTGTACATCATACTGCCTGCATATGGTATATTATAGATGACAGAGAGGAAGACTACCTTACCATGCTCACATCCTCTTAATCCTTTAAATAAGGGGTCCTCAAACTACGGCCCGCAGGCCACATGCAAATACAAATATTGTATTTGTTCCTGTTTTGTTTTTTTACTTCAAAATAAGATATGTGCAGTGTGCATAGAAATTTGTTCATAGTTTTTTTTTAAACTATAGTCCAGCCCTCCAACGGTCTGAGGGACAGTGAACTGGCCCCCTGTTTAAAAAGTTTGAGGACCGCTGCTTTAAATGCTATGTAACCCTGCTTAACTACTTACAGTTCCACAAGCAGACCTTAACTTTCACATCATAATCCCACTTTATCTAGTTGGTAAATTCTTACCCATCTCCGATTCATTCTTTGAGAATCAGTTCTACTCTGAAAGTTTTTCTCACCATTCTTTCTGGCCCCTGCCCTGGGGTAGAGTTAAACATTCCCCATTCTTTCCACTGAGAATAACTTATACTTATTTCTAAAAAGCATGTATATATTGTTTCATAACAATCTATGTGTGCCCATGCTTCTGACTTTGAATTCTTAAATTCCTAGAAATCACTTTGAATTCCTAAATAATACAGTATCTCATTTTTTATATCCTCCTATGGTTAGCATAGAAGTTGGCATATAGTGACCTTTGAGTAAATGTTTACAGAGTAAATGGGATCAGATCTATTCCACTGAATTTAGTTCTTCCCTATCAATCCATCATTTCCAGCTTGAAATTCTTTTCTGAATTCAAAAAGAATTGCCTTTTGCTAATTGTCTGTTACAATTAGATATTCCCACCTAGATTTTCCAGATAGAACAAATTCAAAATTCACTGCTTCCAAACAGAATTCCTCCTCTTTCTTCAAATGAAGTTATAATGTACCCAGTTGCCTAAGTTTAAAAATTTCATTGTAAAAGGACAAAAGGGAACAGGACATTTCCTTACCTGAAATTCTGTAACAATTCCATTATATTTACAGACTGAAGTTCCAACAGCAAACCCACCCCCACCTCCTGCAGTCCCTCTGATTAATTTCATCTCCTACACCCTTTCCCCAGGTTTCTCTGCTACACTATTAATGAGACTGGACAGTTGTGAGAAACAAATAATAAAATGAGGCAAAAGTGCTCTAAAATACAAATATTAGTATTATCCTCCTCTATCATTCAAAACAGCTGAAAGCATCTTCCTCTGTGAAGCCATTCAAATATGCCATCTGTAATGTCTCCTTCTGAACTCATACAGCATTGTCTGTGCCTCTTTTCATAGCATGGAGGCATGTGAGTGATCCTATTCAATTAATAAAAACCTTTTTAGGACAGTAAAAACTTAAGCACATTTTTAATATTGATTTCATTTTTGAGAATTTTTCCTCTTATAATGTATTCTTAGGTTGACCAGACTTGTGAAAATTGTGAAAACAAGAAAGCTTTATGATAACTGGCTGAACTTCACCTATATTACAAACTTTCTTTAACAAAGTCTCTCAATTTTTTTATGCAAATGAGAATCATGTAAAAAAATACAGATACATCTTTATTTTTAGAAATGTTTTACAGGTGACTCTGATGCACTTTGAATGTTGGTAAGTATTCTATAGCATACTTTGTTTGGGTTTTTTTTTCCTCTTTGTTGGTATGGAGAGAGGTTAACTTTAATGATGCATTTGAATGACATTTCATAGCTATTAAAGCCGTTAGCAAAATAAATAGGAAACAAAACATACCTCTGATATAATGCTGCCAACTTTATATCATGGAAATATGATCACTACATGGTTATACATCTAATGAGTGATGTGATAAATGCATAAATATGTAAGAAAAATATATATTATTTAATGGATGCCTCCTTATACATTTAAAAGTAACCCACATAAAGATTTAGTTAAAATATAGGGTAGCTCTGGCCAGTTTGACTCAGTGGATAGAGTGTTGGCCTGAGCACTGAAGGGTCCTGGGTTTGAATTCGGTCAAGGGCACAGCCTCAGTTGCAGGCTCAATCCCCAGCCCTGGTCAGGGCATGAGCAGGAAGCAGCCAAGCAATATGTCTCTCTCACATCAATGTTTCTCTCTCTCTGTCTCTCCCCTTCTCTTCCAGTCTCTCTTAAAATCAATGGAAATATATCCTCGGGTGAGGATTAACCCCCTCAAAAAAGTAGGGTAGCTTTATTTTTTCTATCTTTGTATTCAAAATTGTTAATAATTGAGGGGGAAAGTTAAGGGATTTTGCAGGATCTATTTTCATGCCTACATAAGTCATGTAGAATTGTACTCACTTGCAAGTGACCCATCAAAAACTTGCTTCAGAACTATTTTTAAAAACAGATAATGGATTTACACTGTTACCTAAAATAAACACTTTAAAAATGTATCCTTAAGTTTCAAAAATGCCTCGTATTCATGGTTTCTTTTCACCTAAACACCAGACTTAAAACTATGAACTGTATTTTTTTTTAAATATATTTTATTGATTTTTTACAGAGAGGAAGGGAGAGAGATAGAGAGTCAGAAACATCGATGAGAGAGAAACATCGATCAGCTGCCTCCTGCACATCTCCTACTGGGGATGTGCCTGCAACCCAGGTACATGCCCTTGACCGGAATCGAACCCGGGACCTTTCAGTCCACAGGCCGACGCTCTATCCACTGAGCCAAACCGGTTTCGGCTATGAACTGTATTTTTAAAAAATATATTTTTATTGATTTCAGAGAGGAAGGAAGAAGGGAGAGATAAAAACATCAATGATGAGAGAGAATCTGACTGGCTGCTTCCTGCACGCCCCCTACTGGAGATCGAGCCTGCAACCCAGGCATGTGCCCTTGACCAGAATCAAACCCCGGACCCTTCAGTCCACAGGTTCCCTTCAGTCTGCAGGCCAATGCTATATCCACTGAGCCTAACCCTCTACGGCTGAACTGTATTTCTTTAAAACAGTGAGCAGGTATTGCCTATAGATATATAAAGTCCGCCTGCAAATTAGTTAAAACTCTACAAAAGTGACAAACTTATTTAATTATATCCTCCTCTTCATATTTATAATCAAATTAATTCTGTCATAAGATATTCAAGATTCAGTGAACTGTCATTTAAATTTCATTTGAAATGAAGGGTAAATATATCCTATTTACCTCATCTTTAATGATTTTCATGAAAGGAAATATGACTCTCACATTAGTTGCTGTTCTTAAAAGCTGGTAGCATTGATCTACAAAAACTTGTTTTGAAGGATTAGACTTAAGCTGAAGTTTACTCCATATGAAAATCAACTCCCTGTAAATGAGAAAACAAGAGAAATATCAAAAATACAGTTTATTAAAATACAGACATTAGTTCTCTTTCACTGAGTCTATAGTGCCCTGAGATGTATACAAAGTGGGTATAAATGGATATTATGTTAAGCCCCAAGCTACTTCTACCTATATGAAACTAATAAAAACTTAGAGGTGGGGTGGGGTAAGGGGAGAACAGAAACTGTGATTTTGCAATGGTAAGGAATGAATTTCAATCATATGCTGACAAACCTAAGGTATCTCTAGTACTTGATCAAAACAAATTCTAATTCCAGTGTACCAATATTATGATACTTAAAAGAATAAACTGTGGCCATTAATTAATAACCTGTTTGCAAATTTAGAAATCAGTGCTATAAGACTGTCTGCAAATACATGGTTCACATTTTTAATTTTCTTTTTTTTAAAAATATATTTTATTGATTTTTTACAGAGAGGAAGGGAGAGAGATAGAGAGTTAGAAACATCGATGAGAGAGAAACATCGATTAGCTGCCTCCTGCACATCTCCTACTGGGATGTGCCCACAACCCAGGTACATGCCCTTGACCGGAATCGAACCCGGGACCTTTCAGTCCGCAGGCCGACGCTCTATCCACTGAGCCAAACCGGTTTCGGCCACATTTTTAATTTTCACCCTATTAAGATATCAAAAATACTACACATTAAAAGTATAAGTATATTATACTACTAATTCTGAAATGATCTATCTGCTCTTCCATTAACACACAGTACCTTCAATATAGACAAGCTAGGGACCATTTAAAGTGTTTCACAGGTAGTCTTTTGTAACATATGGCCAAGGTTATTAGATGAAGTAGTGGGTTTTGAGGCAAAGGAAATCATAAGATATGCCAGTAATTGATATATTTGGGTATCACATTTTAACAAATTAGAATTCTTTAAAATATATCATTAAAGTTACATAGTGCATCATAATCTAAGAAGTATTAAAATAACTGATGAAAATATGTGTTTTTAAGTATGTACTTTGATCCCAGCATATACAACTATTAAATCTAATGGCAGCTTGAAGGTGTGCATAGTCTACTTAGAGAGACCATACAGAAAACACAAAACAGAAAATGATGACAAGTAACATTAGCAGTAAAACCAAAATTTCACCTCTATTTCATACTAACTGTGTGGGTATTCATAAGTTTTAGTCCACCACTCACATTTTTTTTTTTTTTTGCACATGTAGTCCTTTGAAAGCTCACTAAGTTTCACACCTTGCTCCCAAATCTCTAGTTCTGACTTTCTACCATTTTTTATGTCTCAGTATATTTCAATTAAGATTGCTCTCTATCGCCTTAACCCTGTCAGAACAAATAATATCCCTGTAAAAGATCTTTTCCTAGATCAGTCAGTAACACTAAACATTCCTCTAATCTACTTGTTCTAACCTGTTTATTTTTCACAGTCTTTACATTTCGATTACATTTTTTTTCTCAAAGCCATACCATTCTTTCTTAATGCTACTACCTTAGGCCCTTTAATTGTACACATGTACTTCTACAGGGCTGCTAAACTGATCTGTCTGCACCTTCCAGAGCATTTTATTTAGTGCTTATTCTATACACTGTTTAATGTCAAGTGCAATGGAAACATTGGTTTTATAATCAGAAGCATCAGGATTTGAATCCTGGGCACTCTTCTAGATTGGTCTCCTCACAGTTACTTTGCTTCATTTATTCTCACTTTTGTTTATATTGAATACTCTACTTGGAAAGTATTTATTTCTAAAATGAGCTTATCTTTCAACAACCACATCAAATGCATCTTCATGAAAGCCTTCATGAAGATCCTAAACTAAAGTGATAATTCAGAACATATTATATCCCTTTTACTATTTCATGCTTTTCATGTACTTCCTTGCTTATATTCTATAGGTCCTATTTCTGCAACTACTAATACATTATAAATCTTCTCAGTGATACATTGTATTAAAGTATTGGCAAAAATGTGAGTTTGGAAATAGACCTAAATATCAATATACGCTACCTGGCATGGTATTACCCAATTTACACTGAGCCACCTTTTTCTGGCAATAACCCTAATATACAAGATTGGAACCCCAGTGGCCATGTCTCCTATGTGTCCTTCCTCAACCTCCTTAAGATATTAATTCAGGAATAGAAAACTGAATTTTCAACTCTGGAATGTTCTCAACTCTAAACTATGAAGCCTTGGGACTGTTGGCATTTCTTTTGGTCTGCAATAAGAGAGACTGGAACCAAATGGCACAAAAGAGAAACAATTTTTTTTTTAAAAAACCTAGCAATCTCAGTGTCCCTGGTAGCACTTCGCTTTTGAGGACCAACTATATCCCTGTTCTTTTTGTGGCTGATGTCATACCCCAGCATCTTTCCAATAAATACAGGCATACCTCATTTTTTTGCACTTTGTTTCACTGCAATTGACAGATGTTACTCTTTTCACCAATTGAAGACCCTCCACAAATAAAAGATTGTGACTTACTTTATTGCAATGCTCACTGTATTGTGATGGCTAGAATCAAACCTGCAGTATCTCCGAGGTATGCCTATACCAGGGGTGGGCAACACCTGGCACGCCAAACATGGCACGCCAGTAACTTTTGCTGGCACGCGAAACCCTCTCTTATAATCTTCCATTTACAATTTTTTTCTTAATATCGACTTTTTTATTTTTCAGATAAATTCAGTGTAGGTGCATCTTAGATAAATAAATAATTTTACATAACAAGTTATCTTAAAGACCATAGACATGGATTGATGAGAGAGGGGAAGAGCAATTTCAATAGTGTCAAAAACGAACTATTGAGGACTTGGAATGCCATCCCAGAAAATTTTTTCTGTTTAAAAAACTTTGCAACAGCGTTACTCTCCATGTTTTCATCCACATACGCTTGTGAATCTTTGTTCTCAGTGATGAATTTTGTTAAGTCTTGTAATAGGAGTAGCCTGACGGATAAAAGTAGTAGCTCGTGCATATCTCTGAAGGTCACGAAATATAAACCTGATGTAAAATCTCTGTCATCAGTGATGCAGCAGCAAAAGTCCCACTGATAATATCAAACGGAGTCATAAAGTTTTCTGTCGGACTATCAGTGTACATGTATACATTAAAAAATAAATGTATTTTTCATCATCATATACTGTGTTTTTGTCGCTCGAATGAATTTTATTATTTCTTCAAGGTTCTTCACATACGTACACCTTAAGAGATATCAAGTAGGCGTAAGATGTTCTCAAAAAATTAGGGTTGGCACGCAGAAGATTTTTGAGTCAGAGATTTTGCTGGTTTTGGCACGCACTCACAAAAAGGTTGCCCACCCCTGGCCTATACTATATTTTCCCTAAACTAGTTAGGATGCTATCATTTGCAGATTGACTAGTTTAATTCCAACCTCACTTTGTTACTAGCTGTTCGACTTTCATCTCTTTAATCCACTTTATGTATAAGTTTTCTTATACATAAAAAGAATTAAGAGATGATAAGTGAAAACACTTCGGTAATATGTCTGGTATATACTGATGTTTAATAAATCACTAGTTTCCTGTATTCTTTCCTTGTCTTTATAATCTTAATATACCAAGCAATGAAATTTGTTCACTAAATATTTGTTAATGATCTGAAAAAAATTGTATTCCTAAATGTTAAACACATTTAGAAGAAGCCTCTTGAGGAAATATATTAAAGGAAAATGTAGACATGGAATGAGATAAAAGATGATGGTGGACATTCCGAGTAAGGGGCATATTATGAACAGAGGAATATGGATGGAAGGAAGTGTTTAAAAAGATGTGGCGTTTCTCTGAAACAGATTTAAAGACAAAAAATGGTATTTGGAAATTTTGGGAAAGTATTTCATTCAATATTATACAAATGAATGTTTAATATTATAGAAATGTATATATTCTCCAACTTATTCCAAAAAATAATTTAAGACTCCTTAGAGAGACATTCTCAAGGCACAATATTATTATTTTTTTCTCTTTCTGAAGAGAGAGATCTCTTTGTTTCTGTTAACTCAGAAGGAAACTTTGTAAACAAAATGTAATACTAAGACCTTGATAAATTTGCCAGGAGAGAGCTACCAATATGGATTTTTGCTTTCTAGCAGGCAAAGCAGAAATACTAGAATATGGTTACAAAGCTCCATTCTGGCTGAATTTACAAAAGGAGTCTTAGGTTTTAAGTGTACACTGGGTTTTGAAGGAAAACACGAATAAAAAACCACTAGTAGTCTTTGTGAAGACCAAAGGGAATATTTTAATGAGGCTTACTTATTTTTTTTTCTTCAAACATAAGGTCCTTTAGAAAACACAGCACCAATTTGGCACTTTTACCAGGTAGCAAGTACTAATAAAATAATCAAGTTATCTAGTTGCAGAGAATAGGCTATAATAGGTTCTACAATCATCCTTATAACATAGTTATTTTTTTCATACTTGACTCATTTATATAAGTAATGTTTACTAGCAGAGGCTGTGAGTCAGGCTACCTTGGTTTGTATTCTGGCTTTATTACCAACTACTTGAATGTCTTGAGTATAATATTATCTACCCCATAAAGTTGTTGAAATAAATGAGATTTACAGCATAGATTATAGGAAGCACTCGGCAACTATTAGCAGCTGCTATTACATTATTATTATTATTATTATTATTATTATTATTATTATTATTATTTAGTAATGGTAAGAGAAATAGGGTTAGTAGCTTATTCCACTAGCTTGAGATACAACAAAACTGGACTATGGATCAGGTTCTTTCCTTAAAGAGGGGAGATAAAGGGTAAGCTAGTTCATAGGGAAGGCCAAGATGAAAGAGACAACAGAGACTTTATAGGATGGAAAGATTCCTGCTCTTCAAGTTACAATGAAAATCAACTTTTAGAAGGGAAATGGAGCTCAGCATTAAGAAATATAGAGGAGGGGGATCCAAGATGGCTGCCAGCAGGCCGGCAGGCTGCAAGATAGTGTGTGAGTGAGAGA